AATACGAAATATATTTTATTTTTAGTTAAAATAAATTTAATCAGTAATCATTTTAATATTTTTTTTAGTTTGAAAAATCACTGAGAGAATACACTTTATTTTTAATTAAAATAAATTTTATCAATAATCTTTTTTAAATGTAAGTAATTTTTTGGTATATTTGTTTCTTTTTATAGATCTAAGTACTATTTTGGTTCAAAAAATATTTACGGACTTAATCGTTCAAAATATGAAAGTCCATTGGCTTTTTTTAAGACTTTTTTCATTATTTTACCACATTAACCAGATGTATAGATCATAAAAATGTATCTAACAGATTTTAAAAAATCCAATGAATTATATAAAATGTTTTGAAATGTCCAAGAACTTATTTGTTTCAAAACAATGTCCAATGACTTTAATAATTCCAAATACTAAAGTCTATTGGGTTTTTTTAGACTTTTACTTATTTAATTAAGATAAAACCCCATTATGTTTATTTAGTCGTATTTCACAACGAGACTGTTAGTAAATAACTATTGATCATTTATATGGTTTATAAGACACTGTAAATGGTAAGAAGTAAAATTTAGTCAAAATTAATGTATCTTAATCTAATTTCACAAACTGTATATGTGTTAAATAGAGACCATTGTTTGTAAATGTCTTCTATATTTGGTATGTGTGAAATGTATTACGTATTCACCTGGAGGGTGTAACATCCCGAAAGTGGAAATTCCGACCACAATAAAAGAAAAAGTCAAAATCAGAGGTTAAAAGCGAAAATGCTAGAAGTTTAAGGCATCAAGTGGTACAATTATATATTGGTTGAAACTTCAATAATAACACAAGTTTCTCTTGGTAAAGTTGATTTACAGGGTCTTTTTTTCCCTTCCAGATGCGGTTTTGAATCTCATTTGTATCATTTTCTTAGTTATTAGCTTTTAATTTTAGGTTTATTATGTGTATGAAAATATGGTATAAAAGAGTCATACACATGACCTCGTATACAAAAAGTAAGAAAATAACCATGAAACTAATAATAGATAATGCAAAAGATATCCATAGCTCCGTTTTTTATAATCAAATGGTAGTAGCGCTTGAAAGAATATCTAAGCCCGCCTCTAAGGTCAAGTGACATCTACAGGACCTATTTTGATAAAATAGGTCAGAATGTGGGTCGAGATGTGGGCATGTTTGTGTCGTATACATGAAATGTATGTTATCTATACTATATTATAAAGCATTTGACAAAAAAAAATTAAAAACCATTCTTTGTACATGAAGTACTGTATATTAATGCATATTGCTTAAAATTCAAGATTACAAGTAAATTGTGCGTAAGTACAACTTATTAAAGCTCCATTTTTCGTATACAGTGATGTGGTATTATGAGCATATATCTCATTCATTGTAGAACTGAACCAATGAAAAAGTCTCTGTAAATCTAACTAAAACAACTATAACTTTCTCCCCATTACTTCATATGTCTGTTTTTCAAATTCTTTAACTTTCTTGGAAACATCTCAAAATAAAACCCCGTCAGTTTGTTTGATTTGGAACTGTAAGAGTATGAATAATATGTGACAAGCAGTGGCGGACACAGTAGCAAAAAGGAGGAGGGAAGGGACCCTAGTAAAAAACTCAGGAAAAAAATTCCTAGGTTAATATTTAGGTTTTACATGATTTACCTTTCACTTCCCTCCATTAAATTCTTCCATAGGCCCCCAACCCCAATCGAAACCGCTACTCTAACTAAAATAATATATTGAAATCAATCAAAAAAAAACCAAAAAAGTCATTCGAAATCGACAAAAACACTAAACAATCCCTCGAAATCAACCAAAAAACTTTAAAAATCCCTCGAAACGTTGTAATTAGGTTAAAAACGCATCGGGCGATTTTGCGGGCCTTTAGTCTACCTTAAATGTGACCCCACTAGACAAAAATTCTGGATCCGTCACTGGTGACAAGATTGTTAAAGTTGAATGATAGAATCAATGAATCACGTGTTTGAAAGTTCGTTTGTATGAATTGACCGGCTAGACAGAGATAGTCCGTTGGTATTTTTACGACCATGCCAAATACACAGTAGATTAGGTGTACGGGCAATTGGTTTGGATATGCATGGATTATGCAGTATGTTGGATCAATATCATGTTCATACTCATTTAAAAATGCGTCGTTGAATCAATCAAATCTGTAAAATCAATTGGAATTGATGAATATTCGGTAACAATTACGGATGATCTTGATGCTTTAAATTGTCAAAATTCCCTTCTTTTAATTACGTGTTCAATTACTTTCGTTAATTATTATCATAGTTATAAAAGGTTTCAATCTTTATTTGTTTTCGTTAAATAAATGCGAGATATGAACCCTAATAATTTGAAATAATATCATTTATACCAAACAAATTGTAATCGTAAGTGGTTTTGAGCTTAAACTGATATCCGCATTTAATACATGCAAAACAGGCTAAGAGCCTGTTTACCAAACGCTTACCCGATTAAGCGTTTATCAAATCACATTACCTTACTGGATGAATATGGTAAGGTCCAAGAAAATCTTACCCGGTAAGAGCGGAACAACGACCAACCCGGTAAGTGAGGGAGACGACTCTTACTACGATAAAACTTTTACCGGGTAAATTGTTGCATATGAAGTTTTTTTTTTTCGTGGACTAAAATCTTACCCAGTAACTAATTGATAGTGTTAAATTTTATCAGTAAACACTTACCGGGTAAGTGTTTGGTAAACAGACCCTAAGACTAACATTTAACTAAATCATTGACTTACTGAAAGATCGACGCCTGACTTATCCATGTATTTGATTAAGTTGGTTTCGTAAATTCAAACCTTAATGGACGTATTGCAATGCTTGCAACTATATTACAAAAGTTTAGGAGTCAAAATTGTGGTCGTGGTTAATTAAGCACCATGGTGACCAAGATATACAACAAACATGGGTTGTTTGGTTCAGACAGATGAATGAAAATAGAAATAAAAATGAAAATGAGAGGGGATGAAACCCTGCTGGAGAATGAGCTCATTATATTATATAAACCAAACAATTTCTTTTTCAATCTTATTAATTATTGCTTAATATCTCTAATCAAAGACCTTCCGATGTATTTCTATCAACTTTTAGTTGTCATGCTCTGTATCGTTTTCTGTGTCAGTCTAAAATTTGTGGATGATTCTAAATGCACAATTTCCTACTTGCTACTTGCATTCACGCATAAACATCAAAGCTTTTGGATGAACGTCTTCACGTTTTAGCCCATATTTTCTCCTTTGAACCACGAAAACCAAGATTTTGCGTGTTGTGAAAAGTTTTTTTTATGAATAAAACATCCAATTCGCAAGCTGTTGTGCCCATTTTGCAAGCGCTAAGCCGACTCGGTTTAGGTTTGGAACCGGTTTGATCCCAAACCGGACCGTGAATTGAAGCTTGAAACATTGTATTTGTGTTAATTTGAAAAAATACAAACTAAACCAACATCATTTTAAGCTCGATTACAAAAAAACCTGGTTTGGGTCTGTTTTTTTTACAGGACAAGATTTACCTACGCAATGAACGCTTTTTGGAAAAACTTGAAACGAACTAAACAAAGCCAGTTTCAGTTAAGTTCTTTGGTTTTTGTTGATCGGGTCTAATTCATGGGGGTCGCATTGTTGATACTAAAATGAAGAATCAAAAGTCAAAATCTTCAAATATGTTTATGTTCAACAGTTTCTCGTATTGGTGATTACAATATAAATTATATTATTAAAATATTCAATCCTCTTTATAAAATACTAAAATAATACTCGCGCAATACATCGAGACACATCTCGATTTTAATGTTCTATTTTATTATTTGTCTTTATCGATGTTATAAAACGATTTTATGTGTTTTTAAGAAAGCAATAATGATTTTATTTTTGAATAAAATATAAATTTGAAGATATCATAAAAATTTGAAAAAAAATATATATATCAATGTTAATATCAAATCAACTATTTAAAAGTTTCATTTTTTATGTAATTTCTTTAATTTATTTTCTTATTATAATTTCATTTAAGTTTAATAATGAAATAATTTATTTTTTGTTTAATAATATAAATTTTATAAATATAATAATTAAGTATTCTGTTAGAACTTAATTATTATCCTAATTATATTTTAGATTTTTTATATTTAAAATGAGATGTTTATCCTGTATTTGATTATGTTTATCTGCAGTTAGTTACACGAATTCAGATATGGAGCTTTAATAAGTTGTACTTACGCACAATTTACTTGCAATCTTGAGTTTTAAGTAATATGCATTAATAAACAGTACTTTACGCATAAAAAGTGATTTTTAAGAGTTTTTTGCCAAATGTTTTATAATATAGTATAGATTATAACATATCTCTCTCTCACTCTTTTCTCGTTCATAAGTAATAATTTATGGAGAGTTCTCTAATATCACCACTCTTTCATACTTTCTCATTCTTTTAGAAGGTATTGAAAAATCTGTCATATTAACATGAGATGTACCAATCCGGTTGAATCAGGAAAGATAACCAACCAGAAAAGTAAAAAAAAAAAATCGTAATTGTTAGAAAACGAAAGACCAAATAAGATAATGGAATTTTCGATTTGGTCACTGAAATAAACCTTAATCATGTTGTATTTCATTCCTTTCACCTACCCCTACTTCACTCTCGACAATCCATCAACACAAAAGCATTGTTAACATCTCTAACTAAACATAATCCAAGAATCAAGGTTTTTCCGATGAGCTTTAAAATATATAACAAATCGAATTTGACTTTTAAGAGTGGTAGCTCTTATCCGGTTAACATTTACCGACAATCTTACAGTGTCCTTTTGATTACCAAAAACTTACTCGGTTATCGTTGGTAAATGGGCCTTTTAGACTCCAAATTTCTTCACAAGTTTTCCGAAATAAATAACGCTTTAATAATTTTGGATAGAATTTGAATCAAACGTGTTTTCGATACTAGAGATCAAGCATAGACCAAAATCGTCAATTTAGCCTAATGTTTGCAGTCCCGACATGATCCGGGTTATCATCATAAACAACCACAAGAAAAAAAGTTGTTACTTTTTAAAGGGTGTATGGGATTGCTTATTTGAAACAACTATGTTTTTCTACAAAAATGCTTATCAACTTATTATAAGTCAGAAAGATTTGACTTCTTCAAAAACTCCTTATTACCGGTTTGACACCGGTATAAGCTGTTTATCCAAACACTAAAAAAATGCTTATTACCGCTGCCACAACGGAATAAGCCAATAAGTTGTTTTTATAAGCAATCCCAAAACACCTCAAGTCTCTTCAAACTTTTTCTCATGATAAAACCTTTCTCCCGACATAATCCTATGCCTCCAAACAAGGCCTGAATGGTTCTTTTCTTTCAAACAGAAATAAAAATGTGAAAGCAAAAAACTTGTTACCTGTCATAAATAGATAAAGACCACCACCCTGGCATCTGGGTTGAGAGTTCACAAAATTGGTAGAGCAAACCAACATTACATTAGCTTTTTTTCTGCTGTCAGCCCTGTAACCGAACAAGAACAACGAAAACCGTTTCCCCCCTAAACTTGATAGTAATAGTAATAATCATTTACAGTCATCTTCTCTATCTCTCGAGATTTAAAAGTATTTACAACTACAAAATAGCAAAACGATCCCCTAGTCCTCAACGGTCTGAATCTCTCCCATCATGATCCTGTTGCTAACAACGTTGAAACCTAAAACTGCAGGACTAACCTTCTTCCCTTTCTTCCCCTTCTTCTTGCCGCCTCCACCCACATTTGCATTGCTGCCGCCCACCTCAGCATCTCGGGCCCCATCATAGACGCGGTATGAGGCGTCTCCAGAAGCCTTCCCACCTTGAAACGCAATCACCAGCACATCAGATGGCATGAAGTCTTTGTAGTTGAGGAACTTGTCAATGAACTCATGGTCACGGTCATAAGAACCGAGGTTCTCCTTCAGCAGTATCTCTGCCTCTGATCTTGACTGCTTCAAACAAAATTCCAAGAAACTTGTATCTGAAAACAAAAACGTCAGACATAATATCAACATCATGTGCAAGTCTTATGTATTATATCATGCATACCAATGGAAGAATCTTTACAAACTCTTGTTTCAAAATCAAGCAAATGTGCAAATACAATTTAACTTGCAAGATTAGGTGCATAATAAGCATAAGAATCATTTTCACTATTACATGAAGCTTAAAGTGCCAACAAGGGCAAAAGATGTCTGCAAAACGTCAACGAGCAGTATGTTTTTCCATCAAAAATTGAAGCATACAATCGAATCTTTTCCTTTCCAGTGTTTGGCAAGTCAGCCCCAGGGTTTGCATGAATGAATTTGTTGTTATCGATTAAGAATCAGACAATTTTTTGATAAAATTCAATTCATATGCCCACTGAGAAGGAACAAGGTCATAAATTCCTATCTGTTCCTAAATTCTGTGAATACCTACAGGAATTTCTAGTATTGTTCATATGAGATGTTAACCGCATCACTTGCCTTTGATTATTAGAGCTATTTAGCTCAATGACCTTCTCCAGAGGAACATTTTGCAACATGACCCTTAATGTATTTCTAACTTTTAACCGGAGCAGACTGTTTTGAACCAAGGGCAGATCAAATGAAGGTCAATGACCTAATCCTTTTAGAAGGTCATGCTCCTAACTGAAAACTCATTTAAGGTCATTTATCCAAAGGACCCTTGATTATTATGCAACTGAAGGAAGTTCTGCATCAACTCACAGACTCCAAGACTTCAGGTTGGTAATTAATTTCAAGATTATTCATTTGCAACAAAAGCAATAACATAAATCAAAGTAGAAGAGTACTTATGATTTTGCGATACCTTTTGTTCCAATAAGCCTGACACACTCACTCTCACACCAATCTCTGAAGTCCATTGCCTCTGCAAAATTACAGTAAACAATCATTTCAGAATACAGTAAGGCATTCATTATCTAGCATCAAGTCACCTACCTGAATGTTTAGTTAACACGTCTCTTTTCCCCTTTGATGCAGGAGATGAGGAAAGGGAAATTTCAGCAGACCTGCCACCCATAGACTTCTCTCGGCTCAAGGACCCACCAGAAATTCCTTTTCCAGGGATCTTCTTTGCCCAACCACCCTGGTTTGCAAGTTGAGGAAAATCCGACCTGCATGAAGAAGAAAGCATATAAATCGTACAAATTAAGCATCACCTAAAGATATAAGCCTCCATTATGTTTCAATAAATAGCCATATAAGGGGTGCAAGATGAAAAAGAATCAGAGTCACATGTTCCATTACTTGACAACAAATACTGGCCTACAGCCCATACTGGTAACCTAGTATGCTACTGATTTGCACCCCTTACATTAATAAATAAAAAAGTTCACAATCATTAGACCACGAACATTCTTAAATATTCTCAAAGCACTTATTTCATGTATCGAGTGCAAATAAACTAGTGTGTAATGGTTTTGCATGTTCAAACAGAAGTGTCACACATCCATCTAGCAGCAAGTGACTTACTACAAATGATTTTGGTGTAAGAGTACATTTAATACGTGTAACATCAATATAGAATTCATCAGATGCAATACTGAAAGGGATCAACAGCATATGATTAAAATAACTGCAGAACTTGTTGACATCACCTCCAGTCCAATACACCAGAAGAACCACAAGAGAGTAAAGGTAAGAAAATGAAGTTATCCATGGTTGAAACAGGCATAAAATAGATACATGCAGACATCAAGAATGGAAATAAAGGGACATACTGCTTTGGTTCTTGCTTCGGATGATCAACTGGACCCCAGAACAGATCATCGTCTACTTTGTTTTTTGATTGAGAGGCACCATGGGATATAATCTGGACAGGGGATGCGGCCTTTGCAGGAGATGACATGGAAGACGACCATGATGGACCATTTCCACGGTTTGACTGAACAGATGCAGATTTCTGAGGGGTTGGCACTGGTGTTTGATGCTGGCCGGAAGAAACCTTTTTCTCTTGCTCCTTCAGGATGTCCCTTAAAGATGTGCGTGTAGCAGATTTTCCTGAATCAGTGGACCAAGCTGGAGCAGGTGAAGGAGCGGCAGTCTCCCCTTTCCAGACCACAAAATCTCCCAGCGAAGGACCAGATGGAACAGCTGGTAACAAATCCTTCTCCTCTAGTGTCTGGCGCGAATTTTTGCCTTTCTCGTTGGGACTTGAGCTAACTGGAATTTCAGCAGCAGCAACAGGGACCGAAACCTTGGCTCCTGAAGACTTGGCTTTTGCAGACTTTTTGCGACTCCTTTTAGTTTCTTTAGCCTCAATAAAGTTTCCATCATCTATTGAATCTGATAGAGAACCGGTCACAGGTAATGCTGGGACATGAGAGATACTGTCAGAACTTGCAGACTCTCTTTCACTAGGTTTCCCCATAACTTCTCCAGCAAAAAGATCATGCAACTGCCCCTTCTTGTTCTTTTGATACAGATAACCCTCAGCAACAGTTGGCTCAGAACTTACACGGTCTATACTATTTTCCTTGTAATCTGAATTTCCAACAACACCAGCCCAAGGTGTGGATATATTTATGGAGCCTAGAGATGTTGAAATATCAGAAACAGTCATTTCTGCCTGTGCTTGTGCCTGTGCGTGTGCTCTCCACTGCTCTTCCTGCTGAATTTCGAGCAATGACTTTGGCTTAAATCCCGGAGCAGGCTTCCAAGCTCGTTGACCTGTAATTACTTGTGTGTGGTGTTGTGTGATAGATCCTGACAGTTCAGCCTCATTCTTTTTCTCAGAAATCTGGCTATCACCACCGGACACACTGTTCGGATCTACCGTGACTACATCAGATTTACATTCTCCGACTTCTCCTGGATTCGCTTCATGCTTAACACTCTGCATATCAAAATCGACCTGACTGACTTTGTTCACTTCAGGTACAGATTGCTTCGGCTGCTGTGTTTTAGATGACGTCTTTGCCAGGTCAGAGGATTGTGCCTTGAAGGACTTCTGTTTCTTTGACTTCTTTTCAGAAGCTTTTTTAACCTCGCGTGCTTCAACAACTTTTGCTTCTTTTGGAACAGAAGGTTCATTAGATGATCTATTTTGAATCTTCGGCAAATCGACAACATCAACAGAGGACAGCTTCAAATTATCAAGATGTTCAGACCTTGTAACTTGATTGTCAGGAGGTCCCACAGAGGGCACAGCTGATGAACTTTGAAATTGTTCTGCAGGTACAGACATCAAATCTTCACAGGTTGATATTGCAACATCTTCCTCGGCTCTCAAACCAACTGGAATTGCTTGCTCCTGTAAACAATTATCATCAGAACCCTTCCTATGACCATTTTCATCACTTTGTTCCGGCGCCATAGCATCCGAACCTTTTTGATGAGCTCTATTCTCCACCAATTGATGAGGTAAATGTATAGAGGCTTCAGATTCACTGATATGGTTGCCATCTTGCGAAACAACTGGAGGCATATTAACGAAGTCAATAGTCCTTGTATCCTGAATATTAATAGCTTGATTCTGTGATACCATCTGGAACATTTCATGTGCAGGCTGAAACCCAAGATGATCCAACGCAGAGCTCACAACTGGTAAGCCCAACGTCTGCAGTTGTCCATAAGATTGCTTGCCCAAATGCTGCTGAGAATGTTGCTCAGTGAGCACCTGGGAAAGCAGTTGCTGTCGTAATAACTGTTGCTGCTGCTGCAGCTCCTGCTTTTGCTGTTGCTGTTTAAGCAACAAGTATTCATCCAATATTGACAGCTGTTGCGTAGGTATTGGGGCCTGATGTTTCAATTGTGACATGTGTTGCTGTTGCAACAAACTTAACAGTTGAGGTTCTTGAGAGAGGCCAGAAGCAAGCAACTTTTCAGGGATTAATGGACCAGACGGATTATCAAAACCTTGAGCATGCAAATTTGTCAGTGTGGACAGATTCTGTGGTTGCAGCCTTTGGTGGACTCCAAAGGATGTTTGAAGAGGGAAATTTTTGCCATGAGCCATGTCCAGCTTATCCTGATGTGGGTCCAGACCACCAGGAACTGAGAAATTTGACCAACTCGTTACGCCACTGTTCACAGCAAAGGTAGGCCTATCAGATAACCCCTGAAGAATGGACATGAACTCGGGACTTGGGACATTTGGGGGTTGCGGTTGCTGACGAAGATTCTCAGCTACAGCTGACAGAACATTGGATTGTGGAATAGCAGGATCTTGATGAATATCAGACTTAGGGCCAATAGAAGCCGCATCCCTTCCCGTCCAAAGAGAGTAAGGATTAGGCAATGATCTTTGCCTTTCAAGCTGTATCCTCTTGGCCAATTGGTACAAGTTATCCCCACTCTCTGTTCCTAAGGGAGGAACCGTGTTGGAGTTTCCAAAATATCCCTGCATGCCTGTAAAGTGAACAAACAAACTATCAGCCCTAAAGCAAAACCGTATACATATATGTATATATAATCACATAAATCCATCATATATTTTTATAGTTCAATCCAATTGACTTATCAAGACAACCTTCAGAGAGACCGAACTTCTCCAGTGGGCCACCACCCATGTTACTAGACATCAGTGACTCGATAAACCTATTCTCAGCCTCTGCACTTGAACCATGTTGAAATCTTGGTTCATTTTTCAGCATGGTATTCTCACCTGAGCCAGTGTAAAGCTTACTAAAGCTGGTGAAGTTTGGCTTACTGGATTCATCATTGACTTCACTTTGTTTTGCTGCACTGAAACCAGGTGGTGGTCTGGCCTTTGCACGCAGATGAGGCATAACATCACCAAGTAAACCAAATGGCGAGTCCTGTGGTGCATTTGCAAGACGTACTAACAGATCTATCCCAAAGTATCCAGCCTCAAACCAACTAATGATATCACTGCCAGTAAAAGGACCTTGAATTGCACCCTGAGGGTCTTTATAAAAAAGTACCAGGTCTTCAGGAGATGGCTGAGAATGTATCCTTGTTTCTTGTTCCCTGTCTGAAATTCCTGATGGTTGCCTTTTAATAACTGGATCCTCGCTAACCTGCCATTTAGGCCCTTCTTTGGAGTAAGATGGATTTGCAGAACTGCCACTCCACTCATTGGTTGTATCCTTTTGAGGCTGCGACCAGCTTATGTCAGTTCTTGACCTGATGTCAGCTGGGAGATCCCTCAAGTCATGTGAGTTTGATTGTAGACGCTCTCCAGTTGATAAAGAACGCCAACTTGCCCCGGGGTGAACAGAGGTTCCATGCATTCTTGATTCTCTAGTAATTCCCACATCATTATTCCTTGCACAAGAAGCACCATATTCTGCTTCTGCAGATAAACAATGATAAATATTCATCATCTAACAGTTCCAAGCATGACGAGTATAAAGTATTAGTCTAAACAGAAAATCAATAAGAATCAAAAGCCTTGCAAACAGCCAGTGTCCTTTTTATCTCACTATATTTCTATAGGGGGTACTCTAACCAACGGAAATAATACGTCTTATGACCATTTAATCTCTTTGTTGGAAAAGTTGAGCAATTGTAGAATTATGCCACCTAGCAGCAGTGGCAATTCATGTCACAGTCGCATGCATATCATATACAGTAGTAACTTCAGAAACAGAGTTGTATAACAAAAAAAGGTTGGCGATCCTCTGATATCAGCCATGCAGCTGGCTCCATACAGGAGCACCTGCTTCTCACAAGACAAATTGCCCAAAAAAATTAAATACTTACCTTTAAACCCATCAGTGGCCTCGTCTTTGTAATTGTCGGCAGCAACTGGTAGATCTTCTCTACTCCCTGCTCAGAAAAGCCATAGCAAACAACAATCATATTCCAAACTATATAGCTATATTTAATAGATTCAATAGAAAGAAAGTCTATCGTACCAAATTTGGTTCTTCTTGACTGCACATCAACCATGTTACGCCCAACAGATCCATCTTTAGTAATTTGGGGAGCACCACTACTTAGTATGTCCCCTTTGTCAATCCCCTTCAATATAAACTGCCAAAGAAACAACATACTAATTTAACTCTAGTAATAAACAAGGGATCAAAAGTTATTATCCTTAAAATTACCAGTTCCTCAGGGGTAGGTGCGATAAGTGCAAGAGGCTCCAATGGTTCTTCCTGGGTAAGTGAAGGCACTAGCATGACACCATCTAACATCCTTTCACTGGATCTCATATCAGTCATCCTGTACACATCAATCAGCTTTGCCCTGCTGTATCTCACAGAAGAGGGCTCCTCATGACATCGATCAATCTTATCAGAAAAAGATGCTAATGAATGTGAATCAATAGAGGTATTATTCATTGGGTTCCCTTCAAAGACACCCCTTCCCCTACCAAGGGAAAAAGTCGGATTAAGATTTTCACCACGTCCTCGACCATGAACAGACATAGGAGAAAGCTTGTTTGAGGTTGGGCTTTGGTAAGGAATCTCAACTTTACCTCGATTGAGAGCAGAACTCGATCTCCATGGCCGTGGATGATCAGTATCCCGCTCATCCTTTCCATGATTCAGATGTGAGAAGCCTTTGTCAAGAGGAACATCATGATCTTTTCCAGAATCGGTCCACTTGTCACGCAGACCATCAGTTTCCTTGTCATCAGGTCCCCAACGTGTGTTCCATTTGCTCTCACGGCGCTGATCATGATTTGCATCCTTATTTCCCGAATCAGCCAACCTCTCAGATGGTGCACGTCGTACTTCTCCATAGTATCTTCCAGAGGAGGTGTCCACCTTGCGGTTGTCCCCAAGCTCTTTATCACCCTCCCTCCACCTATCCTTGCGAACAGAGATATTTGTCTCTCTCTCCTCATCACGCCAGCGCTCACGGTTATCAAGCATGGAAGGGCGAAACACATCCTTCTTCTGGATATCATGGACCTGGTCATTGTTTCCATGTGATTTCCCGACACCCGGGCGATTGGCAAAAGTTGGAAAAGGACTCGTATGAATCTCCTGCATTAAAATACATATAAAAGAGTAGAGTAGTAGAAGATTTATAAGCTAATGAAGGGAAAAACCTTTTGACTGGATAAAGCGCTGACATTGAAGATCAACAGACTATCAGATATCAAAAAATTAATCCAAACAGATCTCAGGAGAAAAATCTAACAACTTAGGTTAGCACAGGTAAAGTAAAAAAGAAAAAATACGGTCACATACCCCAGATGCAGTTCCAGTCTTATTCTCCCCGGGTTTCGGCAGAAGCCACTGTGGTGAAAGCGGAATAGAACTGTCAGACCCATGCCCATCTAGACAATTAAAAAGGCAAAGACTGATTAGACATTCTGCATGAAATTTAGGGACGCAAAAAACGATATAATGTTTCTTTAGTAATTACATGTCAAAAGATACGCATGGGAGAAAAACAACATGATCACAGTTCACATATCACCAACCAATATCATGCTGACCATAGTAGAATAATGCAGGATGTATCACCTTATTTCCAAAAAGTAAAATCAAAGTGCATTACATAGCCGACATCTTTACTAAGTGTATGAATTACCAAAGCAGAAGCTTATAAAATTACGTCAGTCGACAACAATAAGACTAAAAACAATATGGATTGTCTAAACAGTCTCGGTATGAAGTTTTCATCATGTGTACTTAGTCAGCCAAAGGTAGGACACCACAATTTAAAGAAAAAAATAGTAGATAGCAATCACAACAACAGTTGTACCTTTTTCTTTCCCTAAAGTAGTTTCAATAACAAAATATAAGCAATGAGTACCAAACCAAGCAATAACTCTCAGGTTCTTTCAGAAATCACTTTCCTATAAGTAATGGATTACAGCAACTACTGTTCAGAAGTCAAACTTCTCAAGCTACAAGCAACTTCATTCTAAAATCTGCTTTTCAAGAAGTAGAATTCTCCTGTAAGATCACCAATTCATCTAGTAGGAGTTGCTACTTTTCTACATATCCTTACCATGATAGTTGCAAGATCAAAGCAATCCCAAAATGTTCAACCAATGAGTAGTGGGCAAATAAGATAAAAACAAATAAGTTTTATGGCAACCGAAGTTTATAGGGGCTCCATACCAACGCATCCGACTCAACAAAACATCAAAAACACTATAGTGATTAATGAGAAAGAAAACTAAGTTAATGAAAAGGAGTCTTCTCATAGAACATATATATATATATATATTCATACAATTGAATTGTTGCTTATCACAAGTACTGGTGCCTCGTATTGATTGAAAACAGACATCATGTGATCTGTAAAAAAGTGCTTTCATCCTAAGTGCTTATTTATGGTACAGCTTTACTTTGTTCACTCTCTCTATGCGGTACATGCATGCAGAAAGGTACCAGTAAAAGAGACCCAAGAAGACTTGATTTGTAATTGGGCTACATTGGAAGTATCATGGTAGTCAAGACACATGATGAGCCATAGAGCACAACATATGAAGCATCATGTGCAATTTCCAAGACAAAAACGTGAAATTATATGATAAAAAATCTAGTTCAAAGTAATATATTGAACTAAAAATGTCAAGCTAGTACTTTAACACCAGAAACCACGAAATAATGACTAACTTGACAAAAGCATAATCTTTCACAATTGAACATCCCCAAGAATTGAAAAGATGTTTTGATTCTACTAGTTTAGTGGAAGCATATGGGAAAAAGTGAAGCCTAAATGGGTAATCAAGTGAAAAGAGAGGCACAACAAAAATTATCTTGAAATAAATATGAATATGATTGAAGAGATGCACAACAGAAATTTGCAAAAAAAAAAAACAGATGTATGAGCTGCCTAAGTTGTTCAAAATCAAGGACAGGTAGAGAACGGGCTAACAGCTTGTCAAGAGAAAATTGGCGTTGACACCTTACTTGTTGAGAAGAGAAAGATGTAGAAATAGTGGTAGGTTTTGTTCTTCTTCAATGTTCCTAAAATCCCAGCTTAAGTGGACATTTTGACCTAGGGCCTAGGAGTAAGCAACTTTGACCGTTTTGATTAGCAACTAACCATTGAATAAGTATTTCAAAACATAAGCAGAGAATTATCAATTGGCTTCTCTTAACTTGGAGGCACTTTCCTAATCTTTTGATTAGTGATTCTACGAAATGATATCAAATCAATATCTCAATTCTTTTATGTTTACACAATCTGAAAATAATTATTTCCCATATACTGAAATGGACCACTTATGGCTGTTCAGGTGATCACGTTCATGAAGGTTACTCAGCCGTTTAGCTCCACTTAATGCTTTCTAGAACACTATATTTCTTTAAATTTGTTGTGTATTTTTTATCTTATTATAATTGTATTAGTTCAATAAGAGGATATGGGATACTGTGTAATAGAACTAATAGGTTGAGTGGCCTTGATTTTACTTTCATTAAAATAAACCCAAACTTTGTAGTTGCTCCATTATGTCACTCCAAAAACTTTGTGACATTGCACCTTCTCTTGCCACACCAGACTAAATAGCGAGTCAACACCTTCAAATGTGCAGCACCTTTGCACCATGGTGCATGACATACCAGCTATAAGACATGAGGCAAGACAACAAAAGTGTAAATGGTATGCTACACTATGAACTCTCAGATCAAGTTAAATACATATAATACTCTGTGACCATTGAAATGTATTTTCTTATAGAAAATGCAACAAACACATTGCTAGTTTGCTACACTTCCATAAAGTAATAGTTTAAGGTGTTGCTCAAACAGCCACATGCCCGTAGATTATGCATTAAAATTGACTTAGACAAACTTCATTCATGTTAATTCTTTTCAGTATACATCTGAGTTGCTAACCAGATGATCAACAGTACTTGAATGACAAAAATTTGTAGCCATCCATGCTGAGATGGGGTAATAAATAAATCATAGAACAAGACTTCATATCAAGATTATGAGTGAGTAACAGATAAACTACCGACCACGTTCACTCTCAGATTAGACCCACCAAGAACGAATTAAATTTTTTTTTTTTAAAAAGGAAACCACTGTGTGTCTATATTGCTCTATTCAAAACCCTAAAAGTCTATAACCACCACAGTCCACACGAAACGTTGACAGCAGAAAGATTTCACACTTTTCGTTCACGAATCAACGCATAACGTGGAAGATACGAAGAAAAAGGCCAGGAGACAGAAAGTAATTTTCCATTTTAATTCGTACATATAATAATTCAAACATTCGGCGGTTCTAAAACCAGTCACATAAAACCAAATATTACAACTCCAGCCTTAATGCATTTATCTCAACAAAACCGCCTCAATCTCTGCAGAAAAACTAGGATTTAGAAGAACGTACAACAAATTAAAAAGTTTTAGAAAGAAATCGAAGTTGAATCAGCGAATGATCGGACAGAAGATTAAAATGTTAATTCATTCACCTCTGGAGATCTGAGGGTGATGATGAGAATGAAGGAAGTCGGTTTTGTCGGCCATTGATGATCGGAGAGGAACGGAGATTGAGAGCTCGGAGACGCCAAGGGTTTCTTTTGCTGTGTGAGAATGACTGCGTATACGAAGGTGCAAGCAACTTAGACACGAATGCGGGGGAAATAAAGGAATAGGATTAAGGGCAAGTGAGTGTAGATAAAATGGAAAATAAATAAATAAAAATAAAAAATAAAATGCAATTTGTAGAAAAACCCTTGATGTTCTTGGTTTCTTACAATCTAAGTCCCTAACCAAATTACGAGTATCATACACGATTGTTGTGTTACAAAAAATCAATCAAATTTGTTTTATATGAATCATATATCATATGTTCGGGACTAGAAAGACTTGACTTAGGGGTCGTTTATCAAACACTTACTTGGTAAGTGCTTACCGGTAAAATTTAACATTATCATTTGCTTACCGGTAAGTTACCAGGTAAGATTTTAGTCCACCAAAACGGCATCGTATGTAACAATTTACCCGGAAAAAGCTTACCGTGGTAAGAGTCGTCGTTCTCACTTATCGGGTAAGACTTTTGGTCATTTTCTCGCTCTTACTGGGTAAGACTCTTGGTCCTTACCATATTCATTCTTAAGGTAATATACTTGGTAAGCATTTATCCGGGTACATTTGGAAAACGGCCCCTTAATATTTGTGAGAATTTTGTTGATCTGTTATAAATTTTGTCTTGGTGATATAGAATAAACGTTTTCTTGTAACAACTATGTTGGATTATATAACGTATCATTTCCTACGAAAAAACAGTATTTATGTATATTGTAATCGGAACGTGGACAACTGGGTATTCCTTGTTTCAGTTGTTTCATGACAACTATATCTGATGTCATGCAGTTTAATATGCTTTGTGGTTAATAATGAGACTGTCTTCATTTAGGATCTTTAGAAGCTTGTTTATAAATAATTGTAACATCAAAACTAATGTGCCAAAACGCACAAATTCTCTCTTTTTTTTGTTTCGGTATTACGATTGAAAGCAAAGTAATGTACAAAGAATCATGAACTTAGGTGCCATTTACTAGACGTTTATCCAGGTAAGCGCTTACCAAGTCACTTTACTTTACCGGATGAATATGGCAAGGACTAAGAATCTTACCCGGTAAGAGCGAAGACAAAAATCTCAAGTCTTACCCAGTAAGTGAGGACGAAGACTCTTACCATGGTTAGGGCTTACCAGGATAAATTGTTGCATACGATGCGGTTTAGTGAATAAAATTATACCCCGATAAGTAAGCGATAATGTTGAATTTTACCGTTAAGTGCTTATCGGATAAGTGTTTAGGTAAATGGTCTCTTAGTGTAGTTGGACATGTTATAGGACATGTTCGTATGATTTTGATTGTTTCATGATAAAATGGATCTTAGAAATATGTCATATGCTACTTTTCCTAGAACCGTGATAACTACTAAACATTATAAAATATTGGATAATAATATAAACAATTTATAACTGATTGCAACAAAGGAGTGAAATATTCGTACGAATATTGAATAGTCGATAAATATGAAATATAAAACTTAAGTATGCATGATCATCTGAAAGTAGATATTATTACATTTGAAACACTGAAACTTAACAATTAAATTGCTATGGCATATGATTTATCAACATAATATAATATAATAACAAACCGGAGGAATTACTTATGTCTATTCCCGTTGTTGGTCCACGCACTAAATTCATGCGTTCCAATTTTTTTGCGTCTTATTATTTTGTAGACTTATGTGTATTGTTATTTTTTTGAAGTATATAATATTTATACAGTAAATGCAATAAATAAACTCGCACAACCTTCTCACCTACGGTGAGGTTTGAACCTCTGACCTCCTAGGAGGTCAAAAACTACGATACCGCTAGGCCAAATACCCTTTGGTATATATTGTTATTTGTTAACTATTAGTTTTTTATTTATCACTTGCTAGTTGATTTAGGGTTCTTGATTTGTTATCTAATTTGGATTTGTTATTTTGATTCACGAATTGCTACTGGTTTGTCTTTAATATATGATGTTTGTCTAACTTTATATGATTTTTGCTATTGACTACTAATTTATACGTTTATTGTTACTAGCTTTGTTAAAAACTGGTTTAGTGTGAAGTAGCAACATGTTGGTTTATTACAAATTGGTTCGATGATTTGTTCATCTACCCATTTGGTCCATTATGATTATTCGAATCTTATACTAATGTGTAATATGTCCATTTGCTTTCAATTTTAACCGTAAAAATAAATAGGGCAAAATGCATAAAATAGCAATTTACTTTCATAAATTTCTTTATTATAACATTGTACTTTCAGTTTTTCTTATTACAGCAATGTACTTTCAAATTATTTTTTATTAGGACATTGTACTTTGAAAAATTTACCCATTATAGCATTGGGTAACCTTTTGATTTAAATTTACCCATTATACTAGGTTTCCATGCCACCTCATTGTCCACGTAGGCTGTCCACATGTACTATAGTGATTAGGGCTGTAAACGAACCGAACGAACACGAACGGAGGCTTGTTCGTGTTCGTTCGTTTAACTTAACCGAACAAACGAACGAACACGAACGGTAAACGAACGAAAATAATTGTGTTCGTGTTCGTTCGTTTAGAAATCCGATGTGTTCGTGTTCGTTCGTTTAGAAATCCGATGTGTTCGTGTTCGTTCATGTTCGTTCGTTAACAAGTTAAATGAACGTAAACGAACGAACATAAACGAACAGTCTTAACGAACATAAACGAACATGCCTAAATGAACATAAACGAACATGCCTAAATGAACATAAACGAACATAAACGAACATAAACGAACATGCCTAAATGAACATAAACGAACATAAACGAACAGTCTTAACGAACATAAACGAACATAAACGAACATGCCTAAACGAACATAAACGAACGTAAACGAACACCACTATTTGTCATTCAGTTAACTATTACACACCAATTGTCCATAGTTTTGAAAAAAACAAATCACAATTGTCATTGGAACAAAAAAAAAACAAATCACATTTGTGTAATCCATAATGATGTTTCTGCTTTTGATGTTTTGGCACATGGCCCAACACTTTTAACAATGATGTTTGGCACATGGCCCAGATCTCCTATCAATCTGTTCTTGATTTCCAAGAATCAGATACCGAATGAAGCCATAGATCTAGAGATTAGGATGATGAGATTCGTGGTTCTTCTGTATACCGAATACGTTTTTCTTTCCTTTTGTTGAACCATGTAGCTCCAACCCCAGATACTGCCCTTCAAGTGTATACACTCATCTTGGTATCAGATCTTGTTTCGTGTGTAAAACTGTAAAATATGCCAATACAAAGCATATTTAAATTGAATAGGAGACACCATTATCACCATATGCACTAATGAACACAATCATTTCCATGTTTCGAATAAAGCAAAAGCAAATAGGTAAGGTAAACTAATAAATTGTTTACCTAATTTCCAAGACCTAACACACCAGGGAGAGGCCGAGAAGGAGAGCCGAAGAGGGAGTAGGGTTGTCGTCGTCGGACTGTCACCATCGCCGTGAGTCTGTCGCCGTGGACCTGTCGTCGTGAGCCTGTCGCCGTGAGTCTGTCGCCGTGGACCTGTCGTCGTGAGCCTGTCGCCGTGAGTCTGTCGCCGTGGACCTGTCGTCGTGGATCTGTCGCCGTGAGCCTGTCGCCGTGGAGCGGTGGAGGTCCTGGAGGGAAAGAGTAGCAGCGCCGTGCGTCTTCTTGGAGTTGGAGGAGAAAATGAGAAATGGAGAATCAGGAGATATCAACCCTAATCAAAACCCTATTAAAAAACCCAATATTAAAAAAGGCCTAAACCCTTTAAAAGCTCAATAATTAAAAAAGTTTTAAAATTTAAATTCAAATTAAATAAATAAAAATTATATATTAAAATTAATACATAAACGAACGTAAACGAACATAAACGAACGTAAACGAACGAACATAAACGAACATAAACGAACGTAAACGAACGAACGTTC